AATAGTATTAACTGATAAATGAGTATTATTCGTATCAACGTCACGGTTAAACAAACAATGTTAAAAACCTTAGAATCGCCATTTACTCGCTCGTCGCTGCACTCTATCCATCATTTTAGAATGGAAGGATCAAAGATGTAATCATTATTCGAAATGGATTTTTTGTTTTTGTGTGTCCTTGTAATAGAATAAACATAATAAATTGAAATCGTATCAGAAGGTTTTTACTATTTTTATCTCGAGATAAAGGATCGTAACTATTTCTGATGACGGTAAGGTGGAGTCATGTAGGTACCTTATCGATGTTGTAGCTTGAAAATTCTAGGAGGAGATAGATTTCTACAGTACCCCCTTTTTTGGCCGTTTTCTAAGAATTTCACGTTTTCTTTTATTTTTTTCGAAAAATTGACACGAATAAAAGCTGTCTATTTTTTGATTTGACATATGTGTACCAAGTTTCAAAGTGATCCGTCTATAAATAGCCGAGATAATTTTTGGGGTAGACGCTCCCCTTAATCCTTACTAATTGCAAATTTTCTGAGCACAAGTTCTTCTGTCGAGAACTGTCCCACCCCTCCTTTCCTTTTGATCTCGTCCAAGCATTTAATAGGGAATGAAATTAGATCATCTGTTGAAAGTCTGAAAATTTTTCGTTTTCAAAAATATCAATTTAATCATCAATTATCCTCTAGAATTCTCTATCTCAACAATTAACATTTAGAACCCTCATCAATAATCGCTTTGGATTTGAATTTGAACATTGCGTTCCCAGTTCATTCTTAATACTCTATATTAATTTATTGCTATTTTTTCGTGTCTGCTGTTAGACGACCAAGCCTGCAAGTGTTTGTTGGCCGACACCATTTTTGCAATGAGCGAAAATTAATGAACAATCCATCGCAACAGCCAGGCAGGCGCTCTTATGAACTAAAAATGATAGACTCAGAACATCTTAATTAATTCCAAAGTCAAACTTTACAATGGGGTGAGGAAATACTCTCTTTTTGTACTGTTTGCGAAGTCGTCGCCCTTTCTTACACTTAAGTTGTATGCGCTTGATAGCAAGGAGGTGAATCCGATGTTCTGAACTACGTTCAATAACTCCAACATTTCCTTGAAGCGGCAAACATTTTCTCTGAAATATACTGCCGCTCAGATTCAGTTGTGATGGTTTCGTTTTTTTTTCTGGTAAGGATGGACAAGTCCAGTATAATTATTGATTCGTCTATTTTGCAATATCTAAAATCGGCGTTAGGCACGATTTGACCTAAGACACCCCTTAATTGTGCAGATATTACAAATTTTAATCTCAGAGCACTACTACTGTAAAACGATAGCTATTATTACAAACACCATACGTTCTTGCATTTCAAAATTAATCGATCTGTAGGATCCAATTCCGTGGCGCGTGTCACTATTATTGTCTGGAGACTTGGTAAGTTGGGCGTTACAATTCAATTTCAGTCTTACTATAGTCTACAGATATAATTAATTATATTATATAATTAAATTTAATTATATAATATAATTAAAACCATACATCCCGAAGAAATTTTCACTTAAATCTAGAGACGATTTTTTAGAAATTCTTCGCGGTCGGCGCCCATCTGGTATGCTTGCTTCACTTGACGTCACCAACCTCTTTACCAACGTTCCTACAGAAGAAACTTTGGAAATAATTGCTAACCATGTTTATTCAAATGAAAGATTACCGGCTCCACCAGTCCCTAAAAAGGTCCTACTTGATCTCCTCCGCATCTGTACTTCAAAATCGCCTTTCCGGACACCTGACAACAAAATTTACCATCAAATCAACGGTGTTGCCATGGGCAGCCCTCTGGGTCCAACCTTTGCTGAATTCTACATGTGCGAACTAGAAAACCGAGTATTGTCGGACGCAACAATCAGGCCTGAAATCTACTGTAGATACGTCGACGACATTTTTGTCGTTGTTCGAGACGAGAATCACATGACGGAGCTACGCGTGGCCTTAGAACTCAGTTCAGTTTTGACGTTCACCTGCGAATTAGGGCTGAATCAGTCTTTGCCCTTCCTCGATGTACTCGTACAAATGGAAGATACAATGTTCGTCACTACAGTTTACCGAAAACCTACAGACGTCGGAAGAGTTCTGAACGAAATGATAGGGCAGTGAGGATCATAATGTCGGTGTTCCAACTGTTCATGGAGTAATTTATGCAATTCTTTTTCTAGTACCCATTATACATTTAATACATACCCATTGATCAAGTTTTTATTCATGAATTTTGGGCTGCAATGCAGCTTTTTTTATTTTAATTACTGATGGCTATCCAAAAAATACGAAATTAATTGTACATGGGCAGTCGTGCGACTGGCTAACATTCCGAGTCAGGTGCAGCCATGGTTGAATAATTCAACCATGGGTGCAGCCATGGAACCTTGTTCAGACGTGACTTATGGACGTTCGGGAGTATGGGTGAAAGGAAAAAATAATTAAACGATCGATATCGTATTATAATACTAAAATCATTGGAAACCACGTATGAACACTAGTCAGCTTTGAACGTAATCTGTGATGCCGCACGAATATCACTTTAATTACGATAAGCTTGGTAGTTAGAACGTCTGTTTCTCAAATTATATCTTCGATTGCTATTCTTGTTACTCACAAATAAAAAATGAATATTTTGGCAGTACTCATGAAGGTATTTTTATTCAAGTAAGTAAATTCTTCCTTCGGCATACATGTAGCCACGTTTGACAGCCTAGGATTTTTATTCGTTTTGTTATATTATTATTAACAATTATTTATCAGATAATTATAATTTTTCCGAGCAGTTAGAACATAATTGCAGCGTTATAGCACTTGAACTTTTCAATGAAATTAAAATCAAGTGAAATTTTACAATATATACGCATAATACGCTACATCGTGACTTTCGCCATGCTAGTGCGGACCAATTTATGTGATGACATCTGACCAAAAGGGTTAGTTTTATTTAATTATTGATCATCCATTTAATGAATTCTGGATGAGCAGAAAATTGTGTTTTTAGTGAAGAGAAATGTTCCGAATTATATACAGCCAGAATACATGTATTAGCATAATATTTAGGATAATTTGAAAGCGATGTTAATGAAATAGAAACTAATTTGTAAGAACTCGTGCTGTGTACAACAGGTTAATCACAGTCGCTGATGGAGAAAAAATGTCTTTCGCTGTTTTTTTACAGGAACTCACCGTGAATTGTCGTTCACATTTCCCAGCACTCAGTGTCGGTTCAATAATTTTGAAATTGAATATGAAATTATTTTTATTGCTCCGGGGCGGGTGAAGTTGGAAATCCCCGCCGATTTAAAAAAGGGAAAGACCATTAATGAAATTTATAAATACTGAATCAAACAACGCTCACAGGACGGAGTTTCTCGGTAATTTCTTGCATTCCTGTTGCATGATGATTGATGAAGCAATCGTACTACTGCATCATAAGACTTAATATAAATTGTATTGTTTGAATGATTGTTTTTACTACTTGGACTCGGACAGATTCGTATTGTTTTTAATGTTAGTTCGAATAAACGCAAATTGCTGACACATTCTCTAGACTTACGTGACCTGTTTTCCCTCACTCAGAAGCTTCTAGAACGTTCACGAAAGTTCCTCAGGTCGCCATGTACAGAAATACACGAGCACCTCCCCTCACCTCCCCTCAGCAGGGTGCGTTATTCTTAGCCTTCCCTCGCGTGGCTCTCACTTATTCTTTCCTCGTCGCTATCGTTTATCAGGATCTATCTGTTCCATTCCCCGGATATAAGGTTAACAAATGTTCTCATATTGACCTAGTGCTTGTAATTAGAATTGTTGAATTTAATGTTTAGTTATAGTTTAGTATGAAAAAGTTATTGTCAATATGTAGTGCACATTCTGCAAGCGGTGTCAGTAGAAGCCATGATTAATTAAACTCAACCGGAAGAATACCTGAATATCAAACTCAACCGGAAGAATACCTGAATATCAAACTCAACCGGAAGAATACAGGAATATCAAACTCAACCGGAAGAATTCNACGATGCTATCAGGGAGGCTGTTCCACATGTCGGATACCTGAAAATCAAACTCAACTGGAAGCATGCCTGAATATTACACTCAACAGGAAGAACAACCGAATATCAAGCGGAAGAATACATGAAACTCAAACTCAACCGGAAGATTACCTGAATATCAAATACAGGAAAAATACATGAATATTGAACTCAACCGGAAGATTACCTGAATATCAAATACAACCGGAAGAATACCTGAATATCAAACTCAACCGGAAGAATACCTGAATATCGAACTCAACCGGAAAATTACCTGAATAACAAATCACTTCCTAGCGCTACCCGCGAGGGCAATCGGCGAGGAGGCCGGGCGGTTAAGTACAGCAGAATTGTAGCAGTGAGTTGCGTGTTCGAGACCGCAAAATGCTGTGAATGTTCTGCGATGTTAAGAATCGGCGACAGGCCTACGGCCTACTAAACGCTGAAACCGCTATAACCGCTATTATAATTGTTTATCTAATTAATTTTTGTCTGAAATTTATAAGAAACGCAAGTGAAAGTATTCAGATTAATCATCATAGATATAGTAAGTGGTGCTGGTCCTCAGTTATTGGCAATCGCCAAACGATGTTTATCGCTCCCGTCCTCCACGTGGCTGCGCATCGGCGTGGCAGGCAGGCTATTTACAGCCTTGCTACCGCCTGCCACGCTTGCCCTTCCTTGACTCTGACATTCCTCATCTTTTAGCTGAACAATCGTTTTTATTTGCCACAAACATTCTTTATTTTTACCAATAAAAGTTAGTAGTTTACATATGGATCATGAGAAGTTAAATAGAGATCTATGTTTTCACTGTCCAAATAACCTCAGGACGTCCATATTTCCGGTTTTATATTTGATTTGACCGATTCAATAAAGTTAAAATACAAACCGATGCACCTATTACTGATCGTTCTTTATTTTTCCCAAAGGTCGAAATGGCAGAAGAAGTTGAAACATTCGCCTTCCAGGCTGAAATCGCTCAACTCATGTCGTTGATAATCAATACGTTCTACAGTAACAAAGAAATCTTCCTCCGAGAACTGGTGTCAAATTCTTCGGACGCGCTTGATAAAATTCGATACGAATCCCTCACTGATCCGACTAAACTGGATAGCGGAAAGGAGCTTTACATCCGCATTATTCCGAATAAGAATGATCGCACCTTGACGATTTATGACTCTGGTATCGGCATGACGAAGGCCGACCTCATCAACAACCTGGGCACCATCGCCAAGTCCGGCACCAAGGCCTTCATGGAGGCCCTCAACGCTGGCGCCGACATCTCCATGATCGGGCAGTTTGGTGTGGGCTTCTACTCCGCATACCTCATCGCCGACAGAGTGGCGGTCACTTCCAAGCACAACGACGACGAACAATACACTTGGGAATCAGCTGCCGGAGGCTCTTTTACTGTCAAGCTCGATAATTCGGAGCCGCTGGGCCGCGGCACTAAGATCGTGCTCTACCTCAAGGAAGATCAAACGGAATACCTTGAAGAACGAAGAATTAAGGATGTCATCAAGAAGCACTCTCAATTCATTGGATATCCTATTAAACTTGTCGTTGAAAAGGAGAGAGAAAAGGTTGGTTTTGGATTTGTGTGACTATAGTTAAAGTTATTAGGATGAATTTATCATTTGAGGAAGAAAATTATTTTATCACAGTCAAATGTCAAACCAGAGAGAACTTCGGAGTAAACATGGCATGTCTCTCCCGAATATTTTTATTTTAAAAAATGTTTTTTTTCCTGCAGGAAGTTGACGATGATGAAGGGGATGAAAAGGAGGAAGACAAGACAGCCGAGGGTGACAAGCCGAAAGTTGAAGATGTCGGCGAAGATGAAGAAGCGGACAAGAAAGAAAAAAAGAAGAAAACAATCAAGGAGAAGTATAATGAGGACGAAGAGTTGAACAAAACGAAACCTCTGTGGACCCGCAACCCTGACGACATTTCCCAAGTTGAATACGGAGAATTTTACCGGTCCCTCACAAATGACTGGGAGGATCACCTTGCCTGCAAACATTTCAGCGTCGAGGGTCAACTGGAGTTCCGTGCTCTGCTGTACATCCCGAGACGCGCTCCATTTGATCTCTTCGAAAATAAGAAGCAAAAGAACAAAATCAAACTGTACGTGCGACGCGTGTTCATCATGGACAACTGTGAGGAGCTCATCCCTGACTACTTGAACTTTATCAACGGCGTAGTTGATTCCGAAGACTTGCCTTTGAACATTTCCCGTGAAATGTTGCAGCAGAATAAGATCCTTAAAGTCATCCGCAAGAATCTCGTCAAGAAAGTACTGGAGCTTATCGATGAGCTTGCCGAAGAAAAAGATAATTACAAGAAATTCTACGACAACTTCTCAAAGAACCTCAAATTGGGAATACACGAAGATTCAACCAATCGCAAGAAGCTCTCAGAGTTCTTGCGCTACCACACTTCTGCCAGCGGCGAAGAAATGGTTTCTCTTAAGGATTACGTGTCCAGAATGAAGGACAACCAAAAGCACATCTACTATGTCACCGGAGAGTCGAGGGAGCAGGTTGCCAGCTCAACATTCGTAGAGCGAGTTCTGAATCGAGGCCTTGAGGTCGTTTACATGGTAGATCCCATCGACGAATATTGCGTGCAGCAACTCAAGGAGTACGACGGCAAAACGCTCGTGTCTGTATCCAAAGAGGGTCTTGAGTTACCCGAGGATGAAGACGAAAAGAAAGCTTTTGAAGAAAAGAAAACTAAATTTGAAAACCTATGCAAGCTCATCAAAGATATTCTGGACAAGAAGGTCGAGAAAGTTGTTTTGTCCAATCGTTTGGTTTCTTCGCCGTGCTGCATCGTGACGTCTCAGTATGGCTGGTCAGCGAACATGGAGAGAATCATGAAGGCGCAAGCCCTACGAGACTCGTCAACTATGGGCTATATGGCCGCCAAAAAACATTTCGAGATCAACCCAGACCACAACATCATTGAAAACCTTAGACAAAAGGCGGAGGCTGACCGCAATGACAAATCTGTTAAGGATCTCGTCATGCTCCTCTTTGAGACTTCACTTTTAACATCCGGTTTCACGCTAGAGGAACCTACCAAGCACGCAGGTCGCATCTATAGGATGATTAAACTTGGCCTCGGTATCGACGATGACTCGGCGGACACTGCTGTAGAGATGCCATCTCTAGACGATCTTCCTCCACTCGAAGGAGAGGACGAGGATGCCTCCAGGATGGAAGAAGTTGACTAATTTTTCAAAGCTAATATCAGCTTGAAAATTTTCGTGGGAATGTTAGATTTCAGTACAAACTCTAAGGTTATTTTTCTATTGATTCTCTAATTAATGATATAAAATTTAGAAAAAAACACCAATGCAAAAGTTTGAATTTTTGACTATACGTAATTCTAGCGTAACTTTCAAATTTCGGATGATAAATAAACGAAGAAGATAACGGTTTCTATTTTTACTACCAATAAAATCTTAAAAGTAGCAAGCGCTTCATAATTCATCTTGATTCACGGAAGCTTCTTGGATTCAAAGCTCATCAAAAAATAACTAATAAAGATATCATTATAATATCAACTTTATTGAAAAAGGCATAACCTGAATTTTTGTATCATTTAGTTTGAACAAATGACGACATGACCTTGGACAAAGATAACATTGGGCAAATGACGGCCCCTTATACATTCAGTTCGATTTTTGAAGTTTCGTTCAACTCGCTGAAGCATATTGATATGTAAGTTGGCGATGGCTTGGCGTATGTTGTTCTTCAAATGAGGTAGGGTCCTTAGACAACCATTCATTGTAAACTATTGATTTAAGATAACCCCATAAAAAATCACACGGAGCAAAATCGGAGAACCGAGCACGGAATGCTCGTTGAGTAGCGATAATGGAACGACCATTAGTAAAGTACGCCTCGAGAGCAAACGCACGCTGCTGACTTGTCCAACGCATAGTGGCATCTGACTAGGCAGGAAACAAAACTTCATTTCTTTCCCTTTCATATGAAATACTCCCCACCCTTTTCCTACAACACCTGGCTGCTCGGCACAAAATACAAAACAGGAAGTTTCCGTGAATCACCTAGTACCAGGAGCCAATGCACAGCGACAATCTTGTTAATGGCTTATGAAGACGACTTAATAAAAAATGCCTCTGTTCAAATGCACAAGGTAAACAAGTTAAGCACTATCACAATCGTGACTCAATAGTAGGGAGAGTGGTTCCCTGCATACTTAAGGTAATAATTGTGACCACATCTAGGAAAGAAGCGATGATCACACACAGTGTAAGACTAGAAAAATACATACTGTACAGTCATTACTTGTAAACGTATAAGCGACGAGCATTAACATATTAGTTTTGACTTGGAGGATGACAACAAAGAACTCTAGCAGATAAATATTGCCGGAGCTTATTCCTACCGATTAAAGCAGTGGTAACAAAAAGGAGCTCGAAACTCCTCGGCATAGGAAAACGATTTACCTTAAACATATGCCGTAACCAACTACCGATTCCTACCGTAGAAGCAAGAATATTAGAGAGATTCTGGAAATGTCATAAAAATGTATCACAATACTATCAAAGTTATTCAATTTTGAGCGCCCTTAAAATGATTCGTTTATACTTTTCACTGCAACTCCGCGGTCGCGAGTGTCAATGTCAAATTACTCTATTCAAGAACAACATTCAAGAGTATTAATAAAATTATCTTTAAAAGTCGCTGATAAAGAGTATTAAACAAAATATTTTTTAACTTTAAAGAGACTTGGAGAGGACATGATTGCGTTTCTGCAATCAGCAATAGAATCTGACCAAGCAATTTATATACTAAAATCCAATTCGGCCTCATACTTTGTAGCCCAAAACTTTATACTGCGAGTAAAATATTCAAACATCAAACAAAGATCAATTGCTAATCAAAACAAAACTGAAAATAAATTATAGGAAAAATGTTACGCCTCCAGCGTCGTAATGGGCTCAGAAACAAAAGGCAGTTACCCTGTTTATTGACATTTAAATCCCCAAATAAACGTCAACGTCTTAGCCTTAAAAATTACAAATCACAGACGAAGCAGTAGTACGTCGTGGGCTTAAATACGTTTGGGAGGCACAGAAGACGACCGAGGCTTCGGTATCTCTCTCGGCGATTCCGGCTTGCCGAGAGTCCTGTCCACCGTAAAGCCTGAAAAGGAAGTGGCCAAGTTAAGCAAAAAAGTGCAATTTTCTGGTGCTGAATGTAATCTGGAATAAAATCGTGAACACACCACGTTAATTTAAACAATCGGTCGAGAATAACATGATCATGAAACTAATGTAAATTTATAGAATACGAGCTCCCGTTTCACTTGGTCTAGCGTGTTGTCGGAATTGTGAACTAGACGTTTTCCTTGCAGGGTAAACGATTTAAAAAAATGTATCGGGTATTCTAATATTTGTTTTTCTGCTTTAAATTGGGGAGGACGTAGAAACAAGGATTTTACGAAAAGTTTGCTAATTCTTCGAAGACCAAAATGTATAACAACTTGAGCCGTCTTCAGGGACTATGTCTACTGTAGCTGACAATAAAAGACCCGAAGGTGAACTATTGACCAAATGACTTTTCACTATGGTATGCGATGAAAGCTTATCAATATTTACTATTGACATTCAGATCATTTGCTGCAAAAATGACATCAGGTTTACTCTTTCATTGACTTTTAAAACTTCAAATCAGAGGGTAGATGGCAGTATTCTCTTGTTACCGCCGCAATTTTTCTTGATTAATATATAATATTTCAGCACACTAATAATTCGATACAATTAATTAAAATTTAACGGGAAATTGTGAATTTTTCGTGATTAATATATATTATTTCTGCACACTAATAATTCTATACAATTATTTAAAATGTAACGGGAAATTGTGAATACAACTTTGCGGGTCTCACCTCTAGAGAGTCTATTCCTTCTGTCATTCAGGTCGACTCTGTCTTCAGGAAAATTTGACTTCAAAGCTGCAGTCCCAGTGCATTTCAAAGAAACAGCACTCTGTGTGCCATTGCAGCCGGAAAAATTGGTAAAATCTTCATTCTCATCTGCGTCTTCGTTTGGAAATTCATTTGAACTGGGAAATGACGTGTTTAAACAGGTTACAAATTGATCTGAAGACGAGGTTGTGTCGGACGAGGAATCGATATAGTGCGGCAAATCGTCGCCATCCATGTTTAAAGCTACGAAACTTGGTTGCCTTTGACTGGCAGCCAAGTGATTGCTGCTCTCGTAATGGGGCTGTTGAAGGAGAGAATCGTACGACGTTGGGGAAGTTGTCCCGCAAGAGGTATCGCTGTAGCTTCCAGTTTGGAGAGGAATATTAATTGATAAGGATTTACCGAAAGATTTCCATTGTCTTCTTCGTGAGAGTGCGTTTGTAGCAGAAGCAATTAGCGACATTTCTGGTCCATGTAGCTCTTGGATTTCCGGAGGGCTAGTCTCTGGTTTAAAATATCTACTTAGTGTGGGAAGAGGTGTGCTGGATGGCAAGCTTAATGGGTGATTATACAGACAACCCGAATTATTTTCGTCGACTGAACAGGAAGTTGGAGGAGTCGCTGGAATTGTCACGACCTGTGGGACCAAAAGAGATTTCTTGCTCTTCTTCATCAAGAAAAAACCTGAATCTCTGACAGACTCCCCGTCACATTGCCTTTCGTTCAGCTTTGCTTTAATGATGGATAAATTCTTTACCGGTGCATCAAGAATTTTGAATGGGCTGGTAAAATGCATGGATGTACTTGTATGTTTACTTTTGGATTCATCCGTGCGCATAAGATTGTACTGACGTTTGGGATGTATAAGACCCGCTGTTACAGTGTAACATCTTTTGCGACTAGTTGAGTGATTCGAACCAGTCAGACTATTCGTATCAGTGCTCCGAACATCATTTTCAGTTCGTAATACAGAAGTCGTTCTTTTATCAGTGGACCCGAAAGAGCATCGCTGCGGCTGAGGTGCGAGGGGGCGGAGCGGCGGAGAACATGTCCTTGCTGGAATACTGGCTCTGGTGGGGATCGCTCCCGACCTTTAATTTGAGGGGATCTGCGGTGAAGAATGAGCAGGTTATGTTTAAGAAAATTAACTTGTGGTGGCAGTAGCATAATAAAATGTCATATAGTAGTATCGGCATACAGGATTAAAATGGGGCCTGACCTATCACTGATCACTGATTCTAGACATAATAATAAAAATGATAATAATAATGAAAACGGTTTCAGCGTTCATTGGGCCGTAGGCCTGTTGCCGATTCCTAACATTGCAGAACATCCACAGCTTGTTGCGGTCTCGAACTCGCAACTCAATGCTATAATGCTGCTGTGCTTAACCGCCCGGCCTCCTCGCCGATTCTGACCAGAAACTGGCGCACAGAGCTGGGATCGAATCCGCATCGCTCTGTGCCAATCTTGATACTCTGAACTGTAACCACTGCGCAAGAATTTTCTGAGCTTCAAACCCGTAACTCACTGCTTGAGTTGCGACCCATGATCCGATTCAAATTATGTGGGTTTTATATCATGTAATGATTGTATTTACGGGAGTGATAGCTGAGCAGCACACGCGTCTGCTTCCTTATGGTCCGGTTGAGGAGCCCGTACACCAGGGGCTGTAGTACGCATGCGCAGTACAGCAGCACTGACGCGTACCACTGTCGGGACACTTGGGGTGAGTGGGTGATACTGTCGGGACACTTGGGGTGAGTGGGTGAAACTGTCGGGACACTTGGGGTGAGTGAGTGATACTGTCGGGAGAGTTGGGGTGAGTGAGTAGGTAAATAAATGATGATGACAAGTGTCACTGTGCATGGTGACAGGAAGTAATTTTGGATGATACCGCCCTTTCTTGAACAAATATACCACTCTATGACGCTCTCGACGGACGAAAAAATTATCATTAGCAATGAAGTATATGAAGATTAAATAATTTTAGCATTGAATGACGTCTGAAAAACGAAAGTTATTCTGTACCTTGACGCCGACGGGTACCAGCAGGTCTTGCGCAGGTCCTATCATCTCCAGACCCAGCACGACGGAGTAGGGGAGCCACGTCACCAGCTGTAGCCCCACCACCACACTCACGGTCCTGCCGTGATGTTTATAGTGAATTATATATTCTTTGATTGTGAAATATGTAAATCAAAGGTAAACATCATGACAACGTATCCTATTCAGGGCCTATACCTTCAAAATTCGCTAAGTGAACGTAAGTATTTACGCTCTATTTTCTTGTCTATTATTGGTGGATTTTGCTCAAAAGGCCGTCAATGATTGGCTGATGAACTTACGATCTCTTAACTTTTTTGAAAGTACGGGCCCAGGAAATTGGGATGCAGTAAATTTAGTGGAAAAACGATATGAAACGTCATGGGCCTATACTTTCAAAAAAGGTAAGAGATCGTAAGGTCATCAGCCAATCATTGACGGCCTTTCAAGCAAAATCCACCAATCATAGACAAGAGAATAGAGCGTAATTACTTATCGTTCACTTAGCGAGTTTTGAAAGTATGGCCCCTGCAGGTTAGATCAGGATATGAGTATAACAGGAAACGTATCTTCTGTATTTTATTTCTACGCAGAATGAAGTTTCTTAAACCTCTCACCTCTCGATCTCCGTTTTGGAATGCAGTGAGAAAAATTAGCGCTTGAGTTTTGCTAGAAATTGTATAATTTATCAATTTGCAATTTAAATAAATGAATTTTCCCTGACGATCCAAAAGATTTGTTAACCAAATACCGAATGCAATTATAAAAATATGCGAATATATTTCCAAAGGCAGAACCAGGGAGAAGTCCGGGGTAATATCTGGTAGTAATTAAGCTCATAATACAGTACGATAAGGATGCATTGTATTGCATGAAAGTTCACACTTAAACTATGTTTATTCTATAGTAATTAGGGCTGGCTAAAGCAAAACAGAAAGCAATTCGATCATTCTGGACTCATGATCTTCAAGTTGAAAAAATATTTCGATAAAATCCGGCCAAGCGGGCAGCAACTTCAGCCCTTACAGCAGAAACTTGCACAACAATGATTAATTGTTATTAATGATACAGGATTCCTAGCACCCCATTGCACAACGCTGACTGATGAATGTCAATGACTCAGCCCTTACCTCAGCCCTTGCACGACTATTATCGTTTGAGTACTCATTATTAAATCGTTTGAGTACTCATTATCGATTATCGTTTGAGTACTCAGTATCGATTATCGTTTGAGTACTCATTATCGATTATCGTTTGAGTACTCAGTATCGATTATCGTTTGAGTACTCAGTATCGATTATCGTTTGAGTACTCATTATTAAATATCGTTTGAGTACTCAGTATCGATTATCGTTTGAGTACTCATTATCGATTATCGTTTGAGTACTCAGTATCGATTATCGTTTGAGTACTCATTATTAAATATCGTTTGAGTACTCAGTATCGATTATCGTTTGAGTACTCATTATCGATTATCGTTTGAGTACTCAGTATCGATTATCGTTTGAGTACTCAGTATTGAATATCGTTTGAGTACTCATTATTAAATATCGTTTGAGTACTCAGTATCGATTATCGTTTGAGTACTCATTATCGATTATCGTTTGNACCTAAGAACCACATGTCAAACTTAGTTAGTTCAACCATGTGTCCACTAATGTTGCCAATCCTGTCTCTTATACACATCTAGATGTGTATAAGAGACAGAAATAGGCCCATGGCCTGTTGCCGATTCTTGAACTTTTCGTGACTTGATTCACAAGGGATCCGGCCTTTGGAACCCGATCTTTCCATAACTGACGATTGATTGAGATGCATAATTACTCGAGATGCATAATATAATAATTACTCGATTACTCGAGATGCATAATTACTTAATCGGATATGAGAACGTAATCGAAATATCCACTGTGGTATCATCAGTCGTGAGTGGCATTTTCGTAAAGCCACATTTTCAGCTGAATCTAAGGAATGAAGAACATAGTCAACAGTAATGTTGGTACTCTTGGTTGAACTGCAGTGTTCAGAAAAAATTATCACTTATCGCTCGTGCGAACGAAGTAAAATAAAAGTTGAAACATTTACGAAATAAATAGGCACTTTGGTCATTCATTAACTACCTCAGGGCAAACAATGCAACAAATGTGAAAGCTTGAACTTTAACGTTAACGTTTCAATGTTAATTGTGTATCTGCATTTGGTTATTGCGGCGTTAATAAGCCGGAAGCACACACGATCATTAGCAAGCGCAACGAACAAAAATATTTAACGATATTGAGCGGGGCGGGAGAGGGGACTGCGTACAGAAGAAATTGCATACTCAATCAATAATGCACGCGAAATTTAAAATAATTACATGGAATTTCAACGCAAACTTCGAGTCATACCTTCTTCACGGCCTGCGCGTCACTACAGCTTCTGCGCACGGACGGCCCGGTCATTTTGTAGTACTGCGCAGCGAGCGTCGATACATTCATGTATTTATATTATCAACCGCTGTATTTTATAATGTATTCGAGATATTATCATTTGATTGGAATTTGCAATTCTCATTTCGGTTTAATTAATGAGATGAAACTATTGAAATAAAGAAATGAATCTTTAAACACTAGAGCTCCACATGACTGTACGAGTGTTTTACTTCTATACGCATCATGTTGTTCGTTCCCATTCGAAAAAATTATTTATTTCACGATGCATTTGTTTAATTAATTAAATTAGATGAATGATGATCCCAATTACTTGCTTCGTATTTCTTGTATTAGTTATGCGGGAACATTCATTATATCTGAAGCCGCGATAAGACTATTTCATGGAGCTTGAAAAATAAGTGTAAAATATCAAAAAAATATTTCGCCCTCCACGAAAAAAACCCACACTCTTTACGTAACGGATAGGATTAAAAAAACATTCCAAGTTCCGGTTTAACTTGTAAGTTATTCAAGACACTAAATCTATTGTAAATTCTAAACAACCAGAAGTGCAAATTATGCGTGCATCATCTAAAAAACTAATCTACGATAACGTATCAAAAATTGCATCACGTTTATTTTGAATCAGAAACCGCCCAGTTGGCGCGCACTAATATTGAAGAATTTTTCAGTAGTTTTAACATGATAGAAAGTAAGGTAAAGTGTTCATCTAACAATCAATTAAGTTTACATTGTAGCTAACAATTTCAACAATTATATTTTACTCTTACCTTCCTGTGACTGGCAGGGATGACTAGGGTGCAGTCTGACCCCGACTTGGGGAGACGTCTGGGGGGCAGGTCTCCAGGGTACATGCAGGTGGTTAACTGTGTGCAGGGGACGCCCGCAGGAACGTTGTTCTCAATTAACGACTTCATGAAAGCGGCGTCAGCCGCAGGCTTCCTCAGCTGAGATTTATGCTCGGGCTTGGACGATTCAAGACCCGACGAAGTCGCAGAGCCAGAAGAAAGTGATTTGCACACTGGCAGTTGTGAAGAACAGAAAACGATATCATTACTAGATTGAGAATTAATTTTCGAGTGAAAAGCAGCAGCGTTGTTTGATCCGCCATCGCAGGCACGGATGGGACCACTGTTGTTCATGTGTGGGTGTAAGAAATTTGAGTCGATCTGCTTGAGTTCCCCCGTGGAGCAATGTTTCTTAGAAGAACTCAATGAATCGTTCATGTCGTCGTCTGATTTGTGTTCGAGGTGTAAGGATTTTGGCCTGTAGAAAGAACCTCTGTGCACTGCCGCCTCCGTCGGGTGGTCTTTAGGAGAATAATGCAGGGACAAGGAAGTGTTCTTCATCAGACTTGAGTATGGCAGAATCTGCGACGTACACGACCGAAAAATTCCCTCGGCAGAACCACTCGCTTTATCGTTTTTTGAGCTCTGAACGTAAGTTCTGGAGTAGGGCGTTAATTGGGAGAAGTTAGAATAGCTTCTTCTAAGCTGCCAGTCCTGGGAAGTCACTGAAGATTTCCTGGTCATTGACAGAGGTGATGAGTCGCCGGAATGGATGCCTTCATCTGAAGGCTGTCGTCGCTCCGACAGTTTCGTTTGCGTGACATTTGGAGATAATTTCTTTAATGTCTCGAGGGCCAACGACACCGAAGAGGAGGTTTTCTTGAGGTCGGAACTGACGACAGCATTGGGAGCGTTGGCAGTTTGGCCTTCACCCAGCATGGTGCCAACATTGACCTTACGGCACTTATTACGTGCCACCTGTGGAGTAACAAACATAGAAGATGCCTCAGGTTAACTGTCTGAGAGACGCTGCGTAATGTAAATCATGACACATGTCGCGTCAGCACATATATTCTCAGGCGGGACAAAATACACAATACCCGTAAATGTAGCAAATTCCAGCCTCGTAACCCATATAATTGAAAATTGTTATCACAGGCAAAGAAAAGTGCAAAGCTGAATGGCTACTTTCATATTTGTTTCTGTTCGAATTCTTGTCTCTGTCTTCGGAGAGAATAATAAAAGCTTATTTCAATGCACCTCACGCAAGAATGCAGCATAACAGCTTTATAAATGTCGTGTTAAAAACATAGAACTCTCTCTTTAACCGCCATGAAAAAAACCAATCCCGCTTTATGTGTCAATGACTTAAGGTCTTAGGTTTACCACTCTGAAGACGCAAGAGCTTTTCCTCTACCTATGCTATTCCTACCAGAGGTGTTCCTCCCTTCTGGCAGTAGCGACTGAAATACCTTCGTTTGAAGTCCCATATTTCGTGAGTGACTACCACGATAATTGAGGGCGATAACTTAAGCTGAAAAACACGTCGGCGTACGACATTGATGAACGCTAGCAGAGGAAACAGAGATGTATATATATGACCGGTTTTTAAGGAATACCGTGACTGTGGTTCAACTAGTTTAAGGAATATAAATAACTAGAGCAGATCAAATAAAATCATCTGAACAAAAAGACGCTTTAACAGTAGACTTTATAAACAAATTGATATGAGATGCAGTTCGACGCGGTCATTTTGCAGGAGGCTAGCACCCAACGCACCCTGAGCAGCCTGACGTAGCAGGAGGCTAGCACCCAACGCACCCTGAGCAGCCTGACGTAGCAGGAGGCTAGCACCCAACGCACCCTGAGCAGCCTGACGTAGCAGGAGGTGGTGACGGTGAGCGGCAGAAGCACCACCAGCAGCAGCCACGTCGCCGCGTAGGAAAAACTCGAGCGCCACACCACGCCACATGAGCACCAGTCGCTGCGGTACGAGTACCTGGAGAAGACAACACGATTATATTATTATTGTTTATTATTTAATACCTGATACCAACGCTAGAACCACACGACCATATCATTATACTTGATATAATACCTGATGCAAACGCTAGAACCACACGACCATATCTTTATTGTCAACACAGCCTGCAGCTGCACGGCCCGTAACGTACGTAACACAAGGGATTGAGTGACAAGATTTTCTGTGCTACACGCAAAAGTTCCTATCATAATACAACTGCATTAAATAATAAATTATACGCCTTATGTTACTTTTCATTTATGTATTTATTAGTACGAATTCTCCCTGTTCAGTTAATTCTCCTAGTCGTCTTTTCTTGCTTTAATCATGCCTTTTATAGGCATATTTATTAATTTGTATGCAATTAACATTTATTTAGTCACCTGGCCCAGCCCAGGAAAGGGAGGAAGGTGACCAGCATCCCCCGGCCCAGCATTTTATAGGCATATTCATTAACTTGTATGCAATTAATAGTAATTTAGTCACCTGGCCCAGCCCAGGAAAGGGAGGAAGGTGACCAGCATCCCCCGGCCCAGCATTTTATAGGCATATTCATTAACTTGTATGCAATTAATAGTAATTTAGTCACCTGGCCCAGCCCAGGAAAGGGAGGAAGGCGACCAGCATCCCTCCAGCCCAGCAGGCGGACAGCAAGTAAAACACGTGTTATGGAGGTCTTGGGTGGGTCGAGATCAGACTAGGAACGCGACATAGATCACTTACAGCAGAGTATTTTACGTTCGATATCAAAAGCAAGAGGCAATGAATAGACTAGTAAACTACGCGCGATCTCCATAGAAAATTCGTAAGCCATATCGGGAAATGAGGATACTAATTACCAACATGAATGCCCGACGAATGAATGACCAGCAAATGATAAGAAAGAGACGGGAGACGATGCTATAAAATTTTACAACATTTTGCTTCTTTTGATGGGATTGTGCAAAGAAACCCAAACATGGATGGTTATTTCCTGAGACTTGACTTGCAACACCTTATCGAGTTTACAAGGAAATAGTTTCTAAACGTTAGTCCCTTATGCTGAAATTATGTTAAAGACGAATTCACTTGAAAGGAGATATAGAATGCATACGAATTCTTGTCACAAACTAAAAAAAATTAAGCTCCGCTGAAACCCGGCACAGTAAAATTAAAACTATAACATTTTTGAGAACTGATTCATCAATCGATCGTTCGAATTTTATTAATCTGGTAGTTTGAAAATCATATCAGCACAGAATAACAAAACAATGCATAAACAGACATTATAGGATTGATGATAATAAAATAATGAATGCTAAAGCGCGTAGTTCTGCGACACGAACCTGTCTAGCGCGATGACGGCGACGGTGAAGGAGGAGGTGGAGAACAGCCAGTTGGTGAGGAAGCCCACGAGTAGACACAGCGTACTGGGCACTGTCTCGACCATCCCGCTCACCGGCTCTTCAACCGTCCCGCTCACCGGCTCTTCAACCGTCCCGCTCACCGGCTCTTCAACCATCCCGCTCACAGGCTCTTCGACCATCCCGCTCACTGGGTCCTCGACCATTCCGCTCACTGGGTCATCGACCATCCCGCTCACCAGCTCTTCAACCATCTCACTTACTGGCTCCTCCGCCTCCTGAGTGCCGCCGCGTGTTCGGTCTTCTCCAGCCCCCGGCGTTGCTCTCACCACGCGAGTCTTACTGGAGGAGTTCACCACTTCACGGAGTGAGATGACGGCCATGTTGAATTTTAGGGCATGATCCTGCTGATTTTTGGAATTCACTTTGAGATTTTCGAGGTCAGATTCGAAGTTATGACTTTGTCCGTTTCTTTGAGATAAATTGTTGGCATTTTTCGACGATATATATGTCGGGCCAATCTGATTTGCAGCCATGTTGTTTCTTACGAGTGCATTGGGTGACATTTCGGTGGTGTATGACTGTCGATTTTCAGAGTAAAACTTAGGACCAGTGTTGTATAGAGAAGTTTTTGCCGAATTAATACTCAGCGGTGAAGATAACGAGTCTCGACTGAAGAGTTTGCCCAGAAACTGGGTCCACTTACGAAAAAGCTCATGGTAATTGCGATCAGAGCAAAGCTCTTGGCTTTTAAACTTAATCCCACTATGATTAGAGGTGAGGTTACATCTACCGCCTATAACTTCGCCCAATTCAAAATTTAGTTTGATGAGACACTGTCTTAAATATAAATAATTTATGTTTAATGTTTTGGAGGTGTTATTCTTCCATAAGCGTTGACATTGAGTCCATCTTCTTCTGCAGTTACGGTCATTAGAACCATCCGCACTCATAGCTGAACCTAATATTTTATAATATGATAGTATTCTCTCGATAATTCCTCCCTTGTCGCTCGCTAGAGATTTAGCGCCACTGCCAACATGCCCATCAAGCGCCGAGTTCAAGCGCTTCAAAAGACCAGCTCCCTCCAATACGACCGAAGACCTTTCAGCAGACCTTCGCGTTCTACCGATGTTGTTTGTTTCACTTGAAGAAGCTGCTGCCCGGCTGTCCCTCCTTGATATATCGTCATCTTTGCTAGACCCACTTGGTAGCACGGATGGGACAGAGTCGCTGAATAGATCCGTAAAATGATAGTCCAAGTTATAAGTGCTCGAAGGGGACGGACCGAAGCTGGAACTGGCAATATCAGATGCGGTCGTCAAGAATTGCCCCAGGTCTGTGTGACTTGGCGACACGAGATCTTCAGTTGTGCCTTCATTAATGTCATGATCAGAATTTGAAACTGCGCTTTTTGTAGTTCGTACATCGTTGTTTTTGGTGTGGCTATGAGGAAGATTTCTCTGCGCCTCATTGAATGGAAATTCGTTCCAAGTGACAGTGTGGGAATAAGTCACGACCATGCACATGGGAAGCACCAGCAGCGACAGCAACAGGTTCAAGACTGTCAGGCTCATGACCAACCTGCGAAAATAGAATCTCATACTGAGCAGGTAACTTAAATGATGCATTGTAACTTCAAAATACTCGATGTAATGATGAAATCAAACGCCCACTCGTGGGCTACTCTCAAACTAAATCATTCGGTTTAAGTAATGCAAGAGTAAAGGTCTTGTAACACTGTCAAACCAATCAAATGCATCCTTCTGTGTTTTAATCGAGTATTATAAGTGCTCCAACATTGGATGATTACCTAAATTATGAACTGATATGTATCATTACACGTGTAACTTTTGAGCACCTGCATGTTTTAATAAAAAGTGCTGAGTTGATGTATCATAATAACGGTCAGTGACACCCGGAAGAGATGCATGATCCCAAATGTGAGTATAGATCGATATGCAATATAAGTAAAGGCCTGTTCCTTTTACGACATATGGACCGTAACGTCGTAAAGTAACCGAAGGAAAGTGCACGAACCCAAGAAACGTTCTTGTATATAAGCACAAGCAACGGAAGGTCAGACCATCGCCCTTACTTTTAATGAAATATTTAACCCCCAAAGAAGGAAAGCTACATACATTTCATGCCTAACAGATGAAGCAGCATTGGCTACATTGTATATTATTAAGCCTTATTGACGTCATCATTTAAATTAACAGTTTGTTCTGTCAGATGTAACTCATGCATTGCTCTCGCCATACACTTAATATCGATATAAGCATTAAGCACTCGTGCTCCTGATGAAGTTGTCAAATAGCGCTAACTTATGGCACGCTATTTCAAACACCAACATCACAACACAGTCTTTCTTTAAACATAATTCAAGATTATCAGGTCACATAAGTGTCACATACGACACCTAAGTAGATAAATGAGGCAGTAAATCACAGAAAAAAAGGACATTGCGAACTTTTTTGCGATGACAATGGCTGTGATGGCTCGACGGTTGCAGGTAAACGGCTGAACGGCACAATTCTGACCAATAATTTTTAACGTTTAACTTGACTGGAATTTAAAGGCTTTTTCGGTACTCATTCCTCACAAACATGCAAGGTGATGTCTGTTTTTGGTTGAAGCTGCACCAATTAAAGCAAGCGTTGCATTTGAGGTTACCCAAGTGTCATCATAAGGCCTTTAAATAACTTAATGAAACGATTCAAAATGCAACTTTTTTAAACGGTCATTCGCGATAAGCTATTCCGAAATGCTCATTATTACTATGATAATAATAACCTCCTGAAAGGGTTTAATGAACAATGAATACGAGGTTTTTTAGTTGGGAACTAATCTGTTGTAAGAGTTTTATGAGAAATTAATGAGAAATCATGAAGTTTGCTCTAACCTGTTGGAGGTATTTAATGAGATATGAATCGCAAGTCTTTACGTTAGTACTAACACGGTTAAAGCGTTTAATGAGAAATGAATGTGAGACCATTAAGCTGGGCACTAACCTGTTGGAAGGGTTGGCTCTGAGTGGTCTTCGTAGCAGCATGATTGACAGGAGCAGGCTGTTGGTGACAGCAGCGAGCACTGCCAGCACAACCATGGCAGCAATGCTGCCTGACACATCATCAGTGTCAGCATCAGCCCTCGAAATAACCGATGTCTGCAGAAGTCTGACAGCCGCTCGGTCAGCCACGTGGCTGCTGTCGTTCGTGCCGTTCATTCCCGTTAAGTCATCCGTTGATTGCATCGTTAATCGCGTGCGAAATTCAGTCAACTTCGCTCAGTTCTAAAGAACGCGAAATATACAGCAGTCATGGCAGCAGAATTTTTGAGTCGTCAATCCTTCCTTCTGTCATAAATATTCAACTGCTAATTCTATCATCTCGAAGATCCTGAAATCGCCTGTGAGAAAATAAAAATTATAGAAATAAAAGGCTCGCATTCTGGAATTCATCTCTACCTTTTTGGATTTTTTAGAAAAAATCACAACCATGCGTAAAATTTTTCAAAGTAAAACTCAAAAAAAACTCTTGCCGTTTTGATTGCGCGTTCACTCATTCTATTGCGTCTTTCCGTGAAACTATCTTGTGTCAGCGAGCAGAAATCACGTTTTAAAAACCAGTTATTCTAGTGCGTTCAATGATGAGCTAGACGCTGAAATTATCGTCAATGTGGCGTGTGAAGGGAAAATGCCGCTCAATAGATCATGGCCTCATTTGTAATATGCATAAAATTATTCATTTGCTTCTCAAAAGATAGACAGGAAATGCTGAGTTTTGTGAATAAAGCAACGTTTGCAGAACACTAATGCGTGTTAAATCGCTTTGCGTCATGAAGATTAATTATGAGGTTATATGGGTGCCGCACAACAACAATATTGTAATTTGTTAATATTATTGTTATAGTTATTTTATTAAGATTATTGCCTTGTTTATAAAAAAACAACCATACACTAATCTCGAACACTGCTTTGCAATAGAACTCCACCTCAATTTTTCACGAGAATCCATACATTGAATTTACTTCAGCGCGGTTGTCCCTAAGTTTTCTCTGAGCACAGAGCGCAAGTCCTCGAGCATACAGACACTCGTAGCTCCCAGGCTGTACTAACGCATTGCGTACGCTACACACATGATACTGAGGCTGATGCCATCGTGAAACGTAATATACGCTGGTGCGTCCAGAGTATCGTACCAGTCTGTGCTCCGGTACATTATGTAATGGTAGCGTGACATATGATAACGTAGCGCTCCGGTACATTTTGTAATGGTAGCGTGACACATGATAACTTGACGCCAAGGATAAGGTTTTCATAAATTAATCCATACAGAAACCTTCATTCATTCATTGAAATAATTCTACCAATGGCAGACCTTAATTAAATAAGGTTTTTGATCATCGTTGAACTGACGATCATGTAATCAATTTTTCAGCAGCAGCGCCTTATTGTCGAAAGTTTGTTATCACAAATTAGTGGTGATTTGATCTTCATGATGGAATAGTTCTCCACTTGAGTAACCATTGGCTGCAATACCGCCTATTACCTCCTAAGGTTTTATTAAATGCTCCTGCCTTCACTCACGCTCATGAGCTGTTGTATTAAATGCTCCTGCTTTCACTCACGCTCACGAGCAGTTGTGCTAAATGCTCCTGCCTTCACTCACGCTCGCGAGCAGTTGTGCTAAATGCTCTTGACTTCACTCACGCTCACGACAATATATTACAATAGATCATTGCAGGTCTCGGCAATACATTACAATAGATCATTGCAGGTCTCGGCAATACATTACAATGTAATAATAGCACATGTCATTTACTGGCATGCGGGCGAGGGGCTCAATCATTGCTATAGGAGGCCGATGCGTAGGGCCGTACGTGTGCTGCAGGTGCAAGAGATGCAGTGAACGAGGCTGTGGTGACAAAATAAATTATATTATTTATTTAATTATTTTTTATAAATGTTATAAAAAATATAACTCATGCAGTACTCACTGCAGTGAGTGACAGAAAGCGCATTTTCTCGTCGACGAAAATGTGAAGTCACGGACGGACAGGCAGACAGACGGACAGACGGACATGGCGAGCACAATAGTGCATTTTTTCCACAAATGAGAAAATGTGCTAAAAAGGTTCTAATTAACCTGCATTTTAGATTATTTTTGGAGTGAATTCGCAGGAGGCTTCTAGTTCGAATCTGCATTTTCACTGAATGATACCAAATTTACAGGTTATTTTGAATACGCTCCCAATGAGTGCAATTTGAAAAAAAAACATTGCAATGCAATTATAAATAACTCACATAATGAATTGTTAGGAAAGTAACGCATAAAGTTTTAGTAGTTTTATTTAGTAGTAGTTTTGGCGCTCGAAGCTAAGTGAGATGTTATCTTGCAGAACTTTGGCAATGTGAGAAGCGCTTTATTTTTGGTTAAGACTTGAACAATTGCATATGAAGCGAGACTAACTCTGGTGCCAGCTGAGGCTGTCAAAAAAAGTGGCAGCAATATAGGTGGGCAGCTATTGGAAGTTTAGACGTCTTGCAAAATGTATCCAGGAATAATAATATCAATTATTGATTAATTGAACATTCCTAGTAAAAAATGAACGATTTGTAAAAGTATTCTCAAATAGTTTATCCCTGAATGTAAATCAGGTGGACGTTATTAGAATAAAAATTTTTAAATAATTTTAACTTTTAAATAATTTTACATTTTAAAGAATTTTTACTTTTAAATAATTTTACATTTTAAATAATTCTAAGTTTCAAATAATTTTACATTTTAAATAATTTTAAATTTACAATAATGTTAAATTTTATATGTGCACAAATTTTATATGTGCACAAGCTGTAGGCTCTTCAGCGAGGGCCATACACAGCCCACCGCTGCATTTCACGGTCATCTCATATCCATAGCTGCTATCGCAAGCAGGGCCAGGCTCGTAAATTGTTTGAAGTGCGTGACAGTCAAGAGGGCAGCGGCCTTGAGCCGAGGGCTGGCCTTGTCCGGCTCCTGCACGCAGTAGCGGCTCGAGGGTAGCATCATCCTACCCTTGCCCGGCTCCTGCACGCAGTAGCGGCTCGAGGGTAGCATCATCCTTCCCTTGTCCGGCTCCTGCATGTAGCAGCAGCCTAGAGTCGTACGCAGGTATCACTTTACCCCATAACGAATGATTGGTTAATGATAATCAGCTACTTCTACCCCATCGGTATAATAAGTCTCTTAGATGATCGTTAGCTACTGCCTTGCCATCGGTATGATGAGTCTCTATTTCGACTTTAATTTAAAAAATCATGGACATGGTCAGCGTGTAAAATGAATTTGTTCCTTCATTATTGCATCACAGCGTGACAAGATCCCACGCATGCACAGCTTAACAACTTAAGGTTCGACTATGAAGCATCATAGTCCAGAATGACAGGTTAGGAATGCTTCCATAGGAAGTTTATTTACATCCAGTCAAAAAAGAAACGTTTAGCCATTTTGAAACAGTTTCCATCAGCATTACAATCGACGAGGGAAAAAACAAATAAAAATTTTTCAATTTAGTTTTACGGTGCATACAGTGCGAGTTGAATTATTCAGATGATTTAATCCGCTTTAATTGGTGATGTTGACTGCCAAAGCAATTAATGACTATAATCATGCACCATTATAAATCAACCAACTTTGCTTGAGTTGTTGAATTCGTAGGCTTGGTGCAGCTTAGAATTTTTAGGATTGAAACGAGACGCATTTTTTAATAGTAAAATTATTTGCTCTGCACGAGTAAAATTTTCAGAAAGGAGTGATTGGTATTATATGGGTGAAAATCCAGAGCTTCTTCTTGATTGGTCGTCACGCTTTTGTAATAGGCAAAATGTAATCATTCATGTGGTAAAATTTTCATTTTAAAGAAATGAATATCTATTATTTTTACGAGGCTATGGAAGAAGAACTGTGTTTTGAAAGAGTAAAATCATTATTACTTAAATAGCGGAGAAATTTTATATTACTAACGAAAGAAATTATTTAAATGTTTCTAGTAAATAAAAATATGGCGTTTTAAGGATAAGAATCGCCCTGTAAATCGCGTTTTTTAGGAGCGGAAATCTTGCGTTTGCAAGGAATGAATTTTCGGAGTTATCGGGATAAGAACAACATACTTCGAATGAGTTCTTACTAATTCCTTCTTATTTAAAATGTGAAGTATTAGGGATTGTGACTAAAAAATAGGAAAATGTGGGCACAAATTTCGTGTTATTTACAAGAATCATAGAAACTATTGAAACATGAAAGAAGGGAAGACACAAATTCTGTTTTTGTAGGAGTGAATTTCTAGCACGTTTTTATGAAAGTAAATTGCGCTATTTATGCTTTTAAATTTGCGAGCTTTTAAATTTACACGATACTTGAATGCTCTTGATTTTAGATGCCATAAATTGGTCGGCTGAAATAAATGAAATAACTTTCGAGTTTACAGAATGCGATGTTGCGACTCCAGCTATTTTGAGAGCGTAAATTTCTAGTTTTAAGAACATAAATCGAGAGCAAGTAACTTCTGAGTCATAGAGTTGATAAGTCAACCAAACAATCGCTCCCTAAAATCAGTGAATATTTTTAGTAGCAGCGGGTAGGATTAAAGAAAATCTTTTCTTCAATAATGTTCACTTGCAACGCTTGAAAACATTCGATGAAATGAAACAAAATGAAAGCTAAAAACGGAGCAGACACAAAATAAAAGCTGAAAAAACAAGTGAAACAAAGTAAAAATTGTTAAAATGAATCGTTCGCGGATGTGTAGAGCTCCCAAACATTTCCTCGCTCGACGCTTTTAACATTTAACGTCCACCTCTGTCGCTCGACGCCGCTACGATGTCACTAATAATAAGACGGCGGCCCACGTATGTACATGCGCTCCTGACATCAACTTTGCATGGATATTTAGCACATTTATTTGATTACGTCATTTAGCACTAAAATAGTTATAATGCATATTGAAATCCATAGCTTAAATTAAACAAATAGACACAAAATACTGCTTGTAGGAGCGAAATGTCTAGCATGTTTTCATGGAAGTAAATTGCACTATTTAGGCTTTTAAACTTATGAGATTTTAAATTTACACGATACATAAAAGCTCATGATTTTAGATGCAATAAATTCGTCATTGAGGGAAATGGAATCCCCCCACCCCATCCGAGTTTACAGAATGCGATGTTGCGACTCCAGCTATTTTGAGATCGTAAATTTCAAGTTTTAAGAGCAAAAATCGAGAGCAGGTAACTTCTGAGTCATAAAGTTGATAAGTCAACCAAACATTCGCTGCCGAAAAGCATACATCTTTTCTTCAATGATGCTCACTTGCAACGCTTGAAAACATTCATGAAATGAAACAAAATGAAAGCTAAAAACGGAG